AGTAGACCTGCTCCCTGCCCTCCCCATTATGTGTACAGCAGTTCATCAGGCCAAATCCATCCCTTTTCTGTAGCTTATGTGCAAACAGAACACATCCACCCACCCATATAAATAGGAGGCGGAAAAAGCAAGTTGGAAACCCAGATGGGTGCCCAAGTGGGTCTTTCCCATGCCTTCAACACACGCACAACAGGCAGAAATCAGCAGGCCAAGCTCTCCCTGGACACCTCCTCTTCTGGTTTTGCTTGTCACGTAGCTCTTAAAATCTACACAGAATTCCACCATCACCCTAAACATGTGGGAACCCTACTTTCCACTGACAGTTTACAGAAAGGAAGACTTGGCACCCCAGTTCCTGATTCATTCTGGAAGAGGATCAGGGCGGAAATGGGGTCTCTCTTGGAAGATCCACCTCAGACTTGGAAAATGACGGGATACAGGATGTCCTCGTCAGACACGTTACCAAGGTCACAGCAGCCGAAATAGCACTTACTCATCACCTGTGACTCTCGGCATTGCCTGAGCTTTTGTGAAGTCTGAGAATGTTTCCAGACATTCTAACTACTGAGGGGGAACAGTCGGTTACGAAATATGGATCACCAATGCCGTGGCTGAGTTCCTTTCTCCAAAAGGATCACCTACGCTTCCGACACGCAACATGCACCAAATGGGAACAGAGTCCGTGGCAGGCATGAAGCCGGACAAATATCCGTCCTTTTAGACACTGGGACTTGTCCTTTCAGCCCTGCCTGAACCCACAAGGATCACATTACTTTCCGGGGAGAGGATGGAGCAGGCAGATCGGAGCAGGGACTTGCTGCCAGTACCTCTGTGGGATAAGATACCCCACAGGATGCATTTTTGTGGCGGAAGAAATCAGCAATGCAAGACAAGCAGAGGGAGGAAGGAGGAACGGGGAAATAAGCTTCACTTTTGAGGAGGGGGGCAGTCAGTCTCAGACTTAGACAGGAAAATTGAACAGCAGCCTTTGCTGCAGAGCTGGCTCAAGGATTGTTGCTGCCTGCGCTGAAGAACGGAATGGTGACCTTCCCGTTTCATGTACAAAACCCAGCCGGACTGGCAGATGAATCTGCCTTTCACACTGATGATGAGACAGCCTCCTCCATGACACCCAAATATAGAGTGGGCCACATGGCACAGGGCTCTGTCCTCTAGCACCTTATTACCACCAACACTATTAGCATATGCTGCCATCTTATTCCCAGAATCTGCTGCCCAAGATGCCTGCACCACTCTACCTCACAAAACGAGTTGTGAAACATAACATGTAGTCTTGTCTTAAAAGTCTGCAGTGCTGGAATTTATCTGAAGGACACCTGTTGTGAGAGCTAAATGGAACCTCCATGTACAAAGGCAGTGTATCTCAGAATACTGATTGGAGCGGCTTGATGCCCTGCTTGTGGGATCTCTGACATCTCTGTGACCTATGTTGGAAATGGGCAGTGGCTGGATTGCAACATAGGCTTCCGTACATACTGAACTTCTAAGAGGAGACACAAGCATGTTCTGACAGATAAGTTCGTGGAGGAACAGTCCTTCATCCTTTATCTTTGACAGCTGGGCTTGCATAGTGGCTAAGAGACCGAACTGCAAAGCAGGAGTTCCCTGATCAGGAAAACACACTTCTGCTTTGGCTTCTTTTTAGGTGGCCTTAGGCAAAGCATCTCTCTCAGCCACAGCTGCATCCTGCACCCCACCTGTAATATAGATTGTCAATAATACCACATTGTGCAGCGGCTGAATTGCAATACATGGGAAAGTTTGTTTCTATCATCATTGGCCTGAATTGGGATAAAGGTTTTTTATCCCACTAAGTTAACAGTTCTAGCCTGTCACTGTTTTCACCCAACAAATCTTTTATGAGAAGCCACAGTTAATAGCATAATTGCCACTGTCTGATAATAGCATAATTTCCTGCATTTCTTCCCATCCCATCCCAAACCTGCTTTTTATCATTCCTCCCTCGCCTTGCAGACATTTGCAAGTTAGAGAATGCAATGGATGAAGTGGGCTGAGATCCACAAAAGCGCATGCAGGGCGGACTCCTTGTGGCCCACCAGCCGTTCCGGCTTACAACCCGCATCAGCCCTCACCACTGGCCATGACTTATTTTTATTTTCACTTTTATTTTTTATCTCCTGTCTTTCAAGGAACTCAAGGTTGCTTTCATAAGTTCTTCCTCTTCTCAATCTTATCCTCGTCACAACCACCCTGTGAGGTGGGCTGGGCTGAGAGTCTGTGACTGGCCCACCCAGTCCACACGGCAGAGTGGGGACTAGAGTCCAGATCCCCTAAATTCCAACCCTGTGCTCTTAACCACCACACTGTTGACTGGGGGCTGATGGGAGTTGTAGTCTGGAGGACCACAATTAGCTTGCCCACGCTTTGAGTCATCACTGGGTTGTTTGTTGTCAGGGCCTCAAATAAGACTAGAACACGATGATGGATAGAAACACTTTGAACTCCTGAGAATGATTCCTCTTATTCTTGTTATTCAAAGGCAGCAGAGCTGAGTGCTGGAAGCTGAAGGAAACAGAAGGTGGTTGCACGCCCATTCTCCTGCCATGCTTCCTTAAAAAATCCATCTGACCAGAACTGGAAGCAGGGCGCTCATTGGAGTCAATGGGGAACAGTTTGAGCCAGGGGGCTTTGGTTAGGACCCCTGCTCCAGGCCTATCTACCTACCCCTCAGTTTTAAGCCACCCATCAGGGCAGCCCCCGTCCCCTCCCCACCAAGGTGACATAAAACAGTGAAATGCAAATCAGAAAGCCCCGCAAACATCCCAGAAAACAACATGTGCCCGCCCCAGACAGCTGCAGGCAGTGGCTCAAACTAGCAGGGTCCTGCATAAGTCCTGCTGCTCAAGTGCTCAAGCCACCACAAACCCGCTTCCTTCAACCTGCAGGCGCCAGAAGGGCTGAGCTACACATCACTGTGACATCCAGTCAGCGCGGCTGGGGCCCACTTCTAGCCGGCACCAGGTTGGCGAGGCTGAACTCCCTGCTGGAAGCAGATGCACCGTCCCACATCACTGGCGCCCACTCCTTCTTTCAAGGAGGTGTGCCTCGTCAAAGAGTCAGACCATGTGTCTCGTCCTTTGGAAGTTAAAAGGGACCAGAACTGCAAAAAGCTGCTTCTAGGCCATGCATCACCAGACAGCGTCTTCTGATAAGGAACTGTTCTTGTTCTATCATGCCTCCGGAAACTACGCCGGTTTCTCAATATTTTCCTTTTCCTGGAGCACTTAATGCACCTTGGGAGAAACCTGAAGGCTGAGCAGGCTTTTCCCTGTTTTTTCCAAAACGGAACATAGCCAGCATCCTCCTCCAGGGACGGGTTGCATTGCCAAAAGCCCGCTAAGCTAGGCTGGCAGGCAAGCTTCACAGACTAAGACACTACTGTAAGCCAGCATTGTTTTGTCCAAGATGGAGGCAGCAACTGCTCCAGAAAATCTGTATGCCCTGCTCACATCTAGTACCATTCTGCAGAATCACCCTACCCGATGCCAGGCGTGGGGCCAACGCTCAGCATTTTGGGGCAGCTGCTGGGGCCCCGTTCTCCCACCACGCACAGACTGATGCCTATCACCCCACCTCACCACCACCGCTTTTTTGGTGCTCCAATGGAAGCACTGGGTAGCTGGGCTTTAGAACCATCATTTAAATTTCCTTCAGTGCCTCAGCACTTTTGCTATTTTGCAAAATAAAGCGCACAAACGCATAACGCTTCTCTTGGCTTGGCTCACCAGGAAACTGACTAGGTATGATATTGGGAACCCGCAACTGTTCCCATGCTGGCCAAAGAACAGGTGGGAGAGAAAAACATTGCAAGCAGGAAAACATTGCAGGAAGGGTTAACTGCTCCTTCCCCAGCCCCAAGGTCCAACAATCCATTCTGCACCCCATACGGTTGCTTTAAAATGTGGGAAATCTTTATTGTGGATCTTACGGGTCACATCTAGTTGCACCCCAAGGATGCACTTTCAGCTGGAATCTGCCAAAGCGACCTGTGGCACATGGAAGATGAAAGCACGTGCTGTGACAGAACTGGCCAGGTAATACTTGTGAATGTTGCTGATGCAGCGCAGAAGGTGGGAGAGGGTGTTTAAGGATCAGAACTGCATCCTTGGGCTGGCTTACAGGGCGCGGGACCCCAGCCAGCCAACCCTTCCCCCCACAAGCCACTTATTGTGGCCTTCCTGAGCAGCAGGCCCAGCTCGGTCCTTTTGGAGGGCCGCCTCTGCCTTACTGACTCACAAGACACACAGACCTTGTGAGGAAGGAAGAAAGAAAGTGGGGGAAACAGTTTCAAGTCCTGTTCTGTCCAGGACAAAGGGATACAGCACTGAGAGGTGTCACTGAGGCAAGGAATAGCCTGGAGAAACGAGATCCAGGATGACTCAGGCACAACTGAATGCTGTAGGGACAGTCAGCAAAACCCACACCCATATCCACAAACACATAAGTCAGAGAAGCAGCAGAAGGGCGGAGGGGACTCTTCCCCACATCACCATGTGCAAACGGACTCCACTGCTTCCCCCGGTAAAAGATGCTCTTCAGAGCCTGAGAAGAGCCCGGATGGAGCAGAGCAAGGGTCCTTCTAGGACAGCCGGCTGCCCACAGGATCTCACAAACAGGGCAGGAGTTGCAACAGCACCTCCCAGCCACGTTCCCCAGAAACTAATGAATTCAGGTATACCTGGAAGTAGCCTATTGCAGGCAGAACCAGTAGCCACTATGCATTCATCCAGTCCCCCTTTAAAGCCCCCCGACTGGGTGGCCAGCACTGCGTCTTGTGGAGGGGAATCCCATGGTTCAATTGAGCGCTGTGTGAAGGACGTCCTTTCATCTGTTCTGGATGGACACTGTCCCTGTGCTGTGCTATGGGGAGATTGGGGGAGCCTTTTTATAATAGTGGGGGTGGCTCTAGGATCTGCCTGTGCAGGAAGAGGGGTTCCACTTGCAGAAGGTCCCCTCACCTGTTCGGGGGAATGTCCGCACTTCCCACGCCACTCAGCATGATCTCCTGTCTCTTCCTGTAGCTGGAAGGACTGCCATGGGAAAGAAGATGCGGGGAAGAAAGCCAGCTTTCATCTGCACAGTTAACCCAATTTCTGTCCGGATCCAACCGGTGGGCACACTCATGAACAAACCAACAAATAAATACGCATGCATGTTATCTGGTTCCAAGTCTTTGCCTTCGTTCCTTCCATCCTTCCCACTCCCTTCTCTCTCCAGACAGATAAGAAATACTCCTTTATTTCTATACCTTTGACTATACCTTTTTGGCTAGTGCACAGAAATTACAACTCACAAATACAGGATCATAAAAGCGAGGCTTTTTGCGAATGGGGTGGCATAAAAATGGTTTAAATAAATAAATAAAGGCTTGTATTTGTGGACTGCATTTTCTGAGAACAAATATGACCTTCTTATCCACCCATTCCTTTCCCTATCTACAGAGATAAATATTACTGAATCTTCAAGTTGCAACTAGTCAAATATTCAGATCCAGGGCTGTTGTGAGTTTATTTTGGGAAGGAGGGAAAAAGAAGTTACTGATAGTTGAACAACAGCCTGCTCTGAAAGTCAGTGAAGAATCCATCCGCAGAAGGTGCAATGGCTCAAACGGACCTTCAGTGCCGAGCAGCGCTGGGGTAGCTTGGAGAACCACATGAAAATATAAGCGCACAAAGCATTTCCTCCCGTGGAGAGTACCGTGTTCACCATTAGATTATTCTGGTTGCTCACAGGCTGTAGCCAAACCGTTCCGGAGCTTAAGGAGAAAATGAGACCCGGTTGCACCTCCCACAGATTAACCCGAGGGCACAATCCACAGGGAAGTTCAGCACAAGTCCCGGGCCAAACGAGGTGTCACAGGAAATCCTGAACAAGATTTCCCATCACAAGTTTGAAAAATGACGACAGTCAGGATAGGAAGATCTTGGACTGAGATGGCAGTCCAATTAAAATTCTTCCAAGGTGCTGTTTGCCCCATAGCGTTAGGTGGGAACACAATGTTCGCCTCTATGGGATGAATAGCACCTTTCCATAGTGAGTGTGGGGATTTTAATCAGCAAAATGGCATGAAGGGAAACAGCACCTTCCTTGCCTCTGGTAGCTCAGACCAGATTCCAGTCAGAGGCCCTGCCACCATTAGTACCATTTTTAAAAGAAGGAAAAAAGAAAGAGAGCTCTCCTGATGCATCTCTGCTCTGGTTCTCCATTCTCAGTCTTGTCAACGGCGGGTGTGCCGGAGGAATTCCTGCGGATCACACCTTGTGGGCTAGATCTGCTTTCTGAACAGTCCTCCAGCAGGGAAGCTGCTGCCTCGCCATGCCTTGCAGTAGGGCTGCCTCAGACACAGAGCCCAAGAGTCTGGCCTGCTGCCCTTCAGAAATGCTGTGCCAGGTGAAGTGAAGCTACCAGCTCTCTCCCTGCAGCAGAGCCCTCCAAGGAGTTTTACCATCCTGGCTGCACCTCTCTAGTAAAACAACAATTGAGCTTTTAACCATAATGACAACTAACTATGGATAGGCTGACGGTCCATCCTTTCCATCTAACTTGTTCCCATAGCTGTGCGCATTCCCTGATGCCTGATGTTCAGGTTAATTGCTAGGGCTGATTTAATCAGCACATTCATTAGTTGCCTGTTTTAGTACTCATCCAGTGTGTTTTTTTTGCAAAGGAGGGGATCTTAAGGATCAAGGCATGCTTGTTTATTGCTTTAAGACCATTGTTTTGTAGCAACGCTGCACTGGGGAACGGAAGAGAAGGTATGAGAGGTTGCCTTCCCTTCTAGCAATGTGCAGAAGTAACTTTGATTTAGGAAATTGTAAATTGTCTTGCACTTCCTTCCACATCTTAGCTGAGGTACCTATTTTGGGGGTTTGGGACAGATATGGAGGAGCGCACATGGAAGAGTGGAGGAGGGAGAGATTTGCATGGTTCCTTTCCGCCACGGAGCTCAAAGCCTGTCATCCTTTCCCCCTCCAGTTTTATCCTCACAACAGCCCTGTGAGGTTGTCCAGGCTGAGAAAGAGCGAAGAGCCTAAAGTCACTCAGCGGACTCCACAGCAGTGGATTTGAGTGGGGACATCTCAACATCCAGGACCAGCACTCCAACCAGCAACCTCCCCAGTACGTCTCGATAGGCTGGCTGCAAACATGTGCGAGCGTTTGAGCTCCACAGATCTCAGGCAGAACGGTGGCAGGGTTTGGCCCGGGCCGGGAAATCTGCCTGTTCCATCTCTCCCGGATCGCAAGCCAATCTGATTTTGAGGAAAGTTCTTCCTGAGCCCACGTTTGGCACAGCCAGCCTCTCCTGGGAAGGAAAGCAACTTTCCCAAGTGGAACGTGCCCGGGGGGAGCGCAGTGCCAGGCCGGGGGCCGAGGGGGGCGAGGGCCAGGGTGGGCTGCAGGGCGGACGCCTTGCAGAAAGCCCGCGCAGGGGAGGGGGAGAGGCAGCGGCCGACTCACCTGGCAGTGCCCGAACCACGCCAGCTCGGTGTGCAGAACCATCAGAAGGATGCCCACGAGGGCTGTGCCCAGCGCCCAGCCGGCCAGCTTCCGTTCCTCGCCCAGCAGGACCTTCCTCCTCCGCAGGCGGCGCAGGTTCTCGCCCGGCTCGCCCGGGACGGGCAGCGCCATGCTCTCAGCCGGGCCCCCCTTGCTCTGCATCTCCTGAGTGCCGCCGGGGGCGGGCGGCGAGCGCTTGGCCCTCGGCGTGGGCAGGCACGGGGCGAACACTCCCTGGGCGGCCCCCCATCCCTGCCTCTTGAGCAGCCAGCAGGCCGCCAGGGCGAGCGGGCGCGGGGCCACCTGCCGGGACCCCTGCGGCGGAAAAGCGCGCGAGGAAGCCCGGGCGGGCGAGAGATCGCCGAGGGAGACGCGCGGGCACCAGCTGCAGGAAGTCTCCGAGAGATGGGAGGAACGCGGGCAAGGGCGCCCCGGAGCAACTCGCCCGAGCGAGAGAGCCGGCGAGAAAGTTTCTGCGGAGCGCAGCGAGCAGGCGCGCGGGCGCGGGGCGCGTCGCCGGCCCAGCGGCGGAGCGCGTGAATCGGGCTCGGGCGCCCCGGCGGGAGGAGAGCGCGGTGCGAGGCCAGCCGGGCAGGCAGCGCGCCGGGAGCTCTGCGGCCGCCGGCGAGTCGGTCGCTGTGCTTCGTCACCGGGCCGGGCTGGGCTGGGCTGGGCTGGGCTGGGCAGGGCCGGGCAGGGCCGGGCAGGGCAGGCGGGGCGGGGCGGGGCGGGGCGGCAGCGGAGGGCAGGGAAGCGGCTCGGGCGCGATGGGGTTGCGCTGACCGTTGGGGCCACCGGGGCGCAAAGGCCAGGTCCGCCATCCCCGGCCAGCACAGCCAGTGGGCAACGGCGAGGGGAGCTGTAGCCCCACAGCATCTGGAGGACCATAAAATCCCCACCGAGCCCGGACTTGGCAAGCTGCCCTTCCCCAACCTGGTCCTCCGGACGTTCAGCCTCTCCGCACGGTTTGCAGCCCCTAGGGCTTCCTGTTGTCTCTATGAATGAGTGCCCGGAGGTGCAAATATCTGGATGGAGCTGGGTTGGGAAAGACTTTTTTTCCAAAAGCCACTGACTAACCCCATGTAGTCCTTTTATTCTGATCATAGGTGCTGGTTGGACCCTAAAAGCAAACATACAATGCAGCAGATGGGGGAGGAAGACCCCAGAGCCGCAGAGGGAGAGCTCTTTCTCCCCCACTCCCTTCCTTTGCAGGGCTTTTGTGCCTTTAACAGCCACAGAGGTGCCAGAAATCCAACAGGTGAAGCCTTCTCCACCACTGTTCCATGCTGGTAGAAGGAGTCCTTCACCTGTTGGATGATTACTACATTTTGCACCTCTTTGCAACCCTACCAACTGGTTCCTCCTTGCATCTGATCGCTGCAAACTGGAGACTAGCCAGATGGCCATGTCTCTTTTGCGAAACCAACGCAGAAGAGGTTGCAGTGGTCCCAGTAAAGCCAGCTTTCATACTTACTCATTCCGCTTGTGCTTAAACCTATTATGACATCACTGAGGAGGAGGAGGAGGAGGAGGAGGACCATGGAGAAATTCTCTGGAGAATTTTGCTACCCAAAGCAGCTTGAAGGACCTCCACAATGTGCAAGAAGCCCCTGATACTCAGGCCAACATTCCAAATCATAGTTTAAAAGTTTCAGACTAGGCAAGAACGATCAAGGGGCTGGAGCAACTTTCCACGGGGACAAGATTACCATGTTTGGAACTTAAGGGCAAAAGGAGGAGACACAGCAAGAGACAACTGCTTCTCCCTCCCTCCTAACTCGAGAAGCTGCAGCCACCCAGCGCGGTTGATTTGCTTGGTATACCATTCTGACACCTGATTCCGCCTCCATCCATCCCTGCCCTGCATTTGCGCCCAATTCATGGTGCTACCTGAAAGCAGATTGTGTTGCCGCACTGCATGGAAGGGGAGGGCCGGCCTCTGCTCAGGAAAGAGTTACTGCCTTGTTTTGGCTTCCTCACAGAGCTCCCTGCAAGATCATAGGAAGCTGTATCCACTGAGTCAGAACATCAAATCCTGGAATGTTGACACTGACAGGCAGGAATGGCTTTCCGGGGCTTCCGTACCTGGAGATGCTGGGATGGAGCTTGGAGCCGCCAGCATGCCAAGGGAGCCCCCCTCCCCCTGATCAATTTGGCTGGGAAAGCCCTGCCTCTGGATAGCAGGAAAGCTCCATTGATTCATTTATCTGGCTGTTGGGAAATAGCCGCCCTGGCTGGGGAGAGACAGCAACCCTGGTTCTGGCTAATAATCATAGTGCTTACTTATGTGTTTACACGTTTTACGTCTTCATGGCATTTCTAGATTGCTTTGGAAAGCCAACAAAGGCAGTACCACAAAAAACAAATCAGAACTCTCTTTCAATCACAAGATAAAACATTCAAATAAAAACACAGAAAGCACTAAAAAATAAAGCAGGGATGGAGCACTTGCAGCTCTCCAGGGCCTACAATTCCCATCATCCATTAGCTATGCTACTGGAGTTGATGGAAGTTGTATGCCAAAAGCTGCCTACTGCTGCTGAAACCACAAACAAACAACACGTTTTGAAATGCAAAGTTTCAAAGAGGCCTCTTGGCCCTGTTTCTAAATGTAAAGAGAGTGGGGACCAGTTGCAAATCTAAAAGGCACATGTTCCAGTTTGGGAGCCACACAGGAAAAAGTACTTTTCCACATGCCAGCACAGGACTATCTCCAGAAGTGCCTCTCCTGCTCATCCTGATAATGGCGTAGATCCATACTGGGATAGGCCAGATCAAGCGGATCATCTGGCACATTGTTTGGCCTGTCACAACCAGCCAGTGTGGGCAAGAGCACAAGCCAGAGAGGGCTCCTGACATATTTCTTTCACCACGGTCTTAATCAGAATTCTCTCCGCTCTCAGTGCCCGGGACTCGCAAGGGGAGGAAATCTCCCACGGGTGTTGCAGGGAATGTATTTCCTGCGGGAAATAGCCAGTCCGAGGACCCTCTGATTCCAGTCAAGACCACTGCATGGACGCAGGTTTAGGACCTCCCAACTCCACCCCACAGTCTCACGCACCAACTGCCGTGTCTAGCCTGGCCCTGACTTACACCCAATGTTTGGAAAATAATTCATAGGTGCATAAAACTCCCTGGTTAATATTTGTTTCTATTTTACAGGAAAAGAATAGCTAAATTTGGGGCATTCCCTCTCCCTTTTATAAGGTTGTTTCTGGGTGTTTTATTGTTGGGTGCTCAGGGCACACTGCCAGTTGGAACCCTACAACAACCCTGTGAAGTAGGCCATGCTGAGAATGACTGATCCAGGGTCACAGAATGAGCTTCAGTGCAGAGGAGGTATTTCCCAGCCCGAGTCCACTCCACTCACCCTCTCATTGGATTGTAAAGGTTGGGGTGCTGATTTTGGAGCCACAAAGCTAGTGGGATCAGGTTTCAGCCATGTTTTACTCCCATTTGCAATTCACACGGTCAGCCCCATAATACAAGAATGTTGCTGACATAGTAACAACACAAGTTGTTTTGACTTCTAACAACACAAGTTGATTTTGAGTTCTAAAATCAAACAGAAGTTCCAAACATCCTCACAGCACACTCCTCTGACCACAAAGGGTTTCCTGTTTCCCCAAAACATGCAACCAAAAGCCAGTCTAAATATGTTCTTGTTGTTACACCAAAGTGTCTGCAGCTTATGGCAACCCTCTGAATGAAAGCCTCCAAAATGTTCTGCACTTGAGAACCTTCTCAGTTCTTGAGAACTTGTGGCTGTGGCTTCCTTTACAGAATTGAACCATTACTAGTTGGGCTTCCTCTTCTTCTTCTGTCTTCTCCACTGAATATTGTCTTCTCATGATGTGCTGGAAATACAACAGCCTCAGTTTCATCTTTTTCGCTGCCAGGTATAATTCTGGTTTGATTTGATCTAGAAACATAGAAACAGAGTGAGTCAGAAGGGGCTTCCTAGGCCATCTAGTCTGACCTCCGGCACCAGCCAGCTCCACTCATGACATGCCCACCATGTGCACGTCCACCGATGGGGCCTCAACCACCTCCAGGGAAAGCCCATTGCACACCCTCGGGGTCCTGACTGTCAGGAAGTGCTTCCTGGCATGCAAATGGAACCTTGGCTCCCTGAGCTTTGCTCCGTTGGAGCGTGTCCTGCCTTCCTCTGCAGGGGAGAACAGGGCTCTACCCACCTCCATGTGACATCCCCTCACATACCTGTATGTTGCCAACAGATCCCCTCTGAGTCTCCTCTTCTCCAGGCTGAAGAGACCCAGGTCTCAAAAATGGAGGCCAGCAGGCATGAGAGAACCCCTGCCAACTCTCTAAGTACTCTCGGGTGTAACCTGTCAGGGCCTGGCATCTGTGTAATGTCCAATGCCCTGAGGAGCCCCTCTACTTCAAGGGGGGTGACTCTAATCTGTGCCCCCAAGTCCCCAGCCTCATCTCATCTCCTATGCGGATCTCCCCCGTCCTGCTTTGGGGAGAACACAGAGGCAAAATAGTCATTTAGCATCTGTGCCTGTTCCCTCATATCAGTCACTGGATCTCCTTCCTCCTTATTTAGTGGACCCACCACTTGTCTCCCCTTCCTCTTCCTATTTACATGCTGAAAGAAGCCCTTTTTGTTGCTCTTGATATTCTTCGCAAGGCTAAGGCTGATTACGAGCTGAGACTTGCCAAGAATATCAAGA